AACCTATATGTCCATCAGTGGATGGGTAAAGAAAATATGGTACATACAGATGGTGAAATTCCAGTCAGCCTTTTATTTATTTATTTATTTATTTATTTACTTACTTATTTTTGGTACTGGGGATTGAACTCGGGACCTTGCACTTGCAAGACAGGCGGCACCATTGGGCTAAATCCCCAGCCTCAGTCAACCTTTTAATGAAAAGGAAATCTTGCCACCCACCACACCATGGACAAACCTGAAGACATTATACTCAGTAAAATACACAAGACATAGAAAGGCAATACTGTCTGACGCCATTTATATGAAAATAAAAATAAAAGCTAAACTCATAAAAACAGAGTAGAATGGTGGTTGCCAGGCATAGGGCCAAGGGAAGGTGATGGGGTAGGTCAAAGGGCGCAGACGTCCAGTTATGAGATGAGTATACTTTAAGGCTCTCCTATACTGCATGATAATACTGGATTGGATATTCTCCAGTGTTCTCACCACACACACAAAGAAGATGGTAACCAGGCAAGGTGGTGCATTTGTTCATTAGCTTGACTGTGGTGGTCTTTTCATCCGGAGTTCCTTCACACTCTCCACCTGACCTCCTCCATGTCTGTCGGTTGGAGCCAGTTGCTCCCTCCATCTCTGTGTCATTGCTGCAGTCCAAGCTGTCACCCACCTACTCCTTGGATGACTGCAACATTTTTTGTCCCCTCCGCTGTGCACTGCATATAGCAGTTACTTTATAAAATGGCCCGTGTAGTGACCATGTAGTGGTACATACATTGCCATGTCCTCCCCTGTCCCCACATGGCCCAGACCCTGCTGACCAGGCCAATCTTTTTAAATCTCACACTTGATAAGTCCTTGAGCTTCAGCCACTGCCCCCAAGCCCCTGGGCTAGTTACTTCTCCTCATGTCTCCTCGGAAGAGGAGGCAAATCTGTCAAATCCTCCTAACTTCATCAGAACCAGTTCTGAAACTACAGAACTCTCCTCCATATTTTCCAAAGGCATAATTTTTACATATGTTGGTATGGGCTTTGATTAATGCTGGCCATGAAAGGCAGAAACCAGGTCTCATTACACTCTCTGTGGTAACCCTGTGCCTTGTACACAGAAGGTACACACTTCATGTTGAATGAGTAACTAATGGGCCAGTACCTGCTACATACTCAGAAGTACCAGGACCAACAATGTACCCAACTTGTCAGAAGGAGAAACAGGAAAGTTCCCTCAACTATAGCAAGATGATAGGGATAACTTCCTTGAAAGGACACTGTGAGGATTAAGCAAGAATGTGTATTAAAAAGACCAGCGTGAAGAGTCAATCAATAATGTTCTATTAAATGTTTGCAGGGGGGTCTGCATCAGGCAACATTAGGAGAATTCTTCTTTCTTCCTCATCTCTGACCCTATGCATCTGAGATTCTTAGAAGAAAGTTGTAGTTAATGTATTTCTATAGTCACGTTAGAGATTGAATGCATTTCCTTTTCCTGCATTTTTAGGGACTTCTGGAACTTGCAAAATACCCCTGGGCTAGGCATAATGTGTGGTTACTGCTAGTTCCAAACCCAGTTCACATTCTTCCCACTGGACTGCCTTTTGGGAAGAATGCTTAACCTTAATTAACTAACTTTAGCCTGAACTAGATGTAGCCTGAACTCTAATTTAAATGTACATGAACTAAATTTCAGCACCTAGAGAAATAGGAAAGATCCTGCCCCCACCCCACCCATAGGCACTGAGCTGCCCGGGCTTCACTTGCCTTTCTTGCTTTCAAAAACCTTCCTGTAATTCTGACTTAATGAAAAAGATTATTAAGTGGCTTTGTAACTCAGAGGAGCAGCTGCCACTACCCACCAGACTGTCCCCTAGGACAGAAAATAGTACAGACAGCTGATTTTCTCCTCAGCCTTACCTTCCGCTTGCCCTCCCAGGCTGGGTGCATTGTGCCTGGGTCCTGGCTGGCCTGGAGGCAGCTGGGCATCATGCAGTCCCCCCCAGCAGCTGCCTACCTATCCAGAGAGGGCACAGCCACCACTTGCATCCAGATGAGGTCCAGGCAGGGAGAGATGATCCTCAGCAGCAAAGCCAGGCTTCTCCAAGCCTGCATAATTCAGAGCCTATGGGGAGCCAAACACCCTTTAAAAAGAAGGCAAATCATAACAACCTCCTGCTTTTGTCCTCCTTTGTTCCTCCTCACAGCACATTCCAGTCCATTAGCTTGATGGAGCTTCAAAATCAACTCAGGTCTGAGAGAGTTCCATAGGCTGGATTCCTTCTTCCCATTCATCAGAAGAGGAAACTGAGACTCAGGAAATAATTATCACCACCGCAGCATGACAACTCATTGACTGCTTACTGCATTCTGCCAGCTTCCCAGGGACTATCTCAATTAAATTCTGAGAAGCAAATTCTATTATTATCTTCAGAGATACGAAGATAGGAAGTCAAAGGTTGGCAGAAGCCACATTACTTACTCCAGGTTATAGAAAATGACAATGCTTTCTAAGGGCTAGTGCCCCAGAGATTTCCCAGAACAGCCCATCTTTGAAGTTCCCACTCCAAGGCCTCAGTAGCAAGTATCCTTGGCTTCTGGCCTCCATCCTTAATTAAACTGAACCTACCACCAAGTCTTACCCTGGCTCTTTTCTCAGACCCGGAACCACTGACCCTCAAGTCAGTGAGCTCTCAGCACTCAGGAAAGTGGGGCCCAAAGCATGATTTCCACCCCACCATCCCTGGAAAATGCTGCTGTCATTAGTGTAAGTTACCATTCCATAAAATTCAAAGTATATGGAATTGTTTCATATAACCCAAGAGCGGCCTTTAGAAATTCACAGCCTAGCGGAATCCACCTCTTTCAGGTATGCAAGCTTACAAGACACATGTTTGCAACTAGTGTCAACAATACAACATAGCTACCACTATGGCCAGGCACTATTTCAGGGCCCTGGGGTCCAACCATGGGTAAGACAGCAAAGACTCTGACCTAGTAGAGTCCATATTTAGTAGAAAAGACAAATGGAAACATGTGTAGTAGAATGTGAACAGAAGGGGATGGTTAGTCCCCTGAAAGAATAAAACCAGGGAATGAGATGGAGACTTAATTGCACTTTTAGATGGAGTCGGGGGAGGGTGCTGATGAATGGATGCCAAGATTTTCCAGGATTATCTGGCTGGCCCTGTGCAGTCACAAGGGTCCTTATATTTGAAAGAGAGATGTAAGTAGAGAATCAGAGCCAGAAACAGAGACAGATGTGAAGATGCTACACTGCTGGCTCTGACAGTAGAGAAAAGGCCACAAAACAAGAAATGCAGGGGCCCAAGAAACTCGAAGGAGATAGATTCTCCCCTAGAGCTCCAGAAGGAAGCAACTTTGCTGAAATCTTTATTTTAGTGCAGTAAAACCCACATACTATAAGACAATCAGTTTATGGTATTTAATAAACAGGGCGTAACACTGGGTTACAACAACCCATCCTATACTTTTCTATTGTAAATTTGTACTTTAGCATACTAGTAGCCAGCTGTGGATCTCAGTAGCTGCACCTGGGGGATATAGGAAGCAATCTTTGTGTTTACCCACTTGGTAGGATGAATGGCAAGTTGTATGCACATGTACCAAATTGTCAAACCAGGTTTTTACCCACATAATGCTCTAACAGGTTTTGTGTTTACCTGAGCATCATAGGGAGTAAAATACACCCACACCACTCTTCTATTATGTAAATATGTATTTACCACAATGGAATGTGGCTGTGACTCATAGTAGCAGCATCTGAAAGAATCCATCTGTGCATTCACCCACTTGGCAGACAAATGGCAAGGTTGTGTAGAGAAGCTCCAAAGCATCCACAGGTGAGTTTTACCCATGAAATTCTCATTGTTAAATTTCTGTGCATTTAGGATTTGTTTTTTTAAAAAGGTTTTCTTTTGATTTTTCTGGCAGAAGTAGCCCAGTTCAGTACCATGGCACATGAAAAACCAGATTTGCAAGTTTTGGAGGAGATTAAAAGTGAATTATCAGACTGCTCATGCATAGATGATGAAGATGATAATGACTTTGACATTGGTCATGTGAGCCAAACTTCCTGTGACAGTGAAATGGAGCAAGAATTGACCCAGACAGGCACAAGGAATGCAGAACTCCTTGATTCAGGTGACAAAGAAAACAGCACTATGAGTATATATTTGACTAGTCGAAATGGTACAAAATAGTCACACAACCAAATGGAATGATCCAGTGTTAGAATTAGGTCCAAAAATATAATGAAGATCTTGGGAGGGGTGGACAGAATGCCAGCACTGCCATTCAATGTTGGGAATTGGTTGTAACAGATGAAATCCTACAAAATGCTATGAAATACACAAATGTTGAAATACAAATAAAATGTTCTGTATGCACCAATAGCCATTCTAAAAAATGTATTTATTATGACACCTCCCTAGCCAAATTGAAAGGATTCATAAGTCTGTTCTACTTAGCAGGGCTTTCTCATGGTAATTGCAGGGATGTAAAAGACTTATGGGAAAGTGATGGGTGTGGGCTTGAGGTTTGTAGAATAACAATGACACTGAGGAGATTTGGTTTCCTTCAAAATTGACTGAGGTTTGATGACAATACCACCTGCTAAAGAAAGAAAAAGAATTGATAATCTGGCTACTATCTGCTCACTGTTTAAGAGATTTGTGGGTAATTGTCAAACAATTTACAGGCCCTCTGAATACATGACTATTGATGAACATCTTGCAGCCTTTCATGTTCACTGTAGCTTTAGGCAATATATGCCAAGAAAATCTTCAAACTATGGCAAAAAAATTATGCCCTTGTATATGTGAAGATTTATTATGCTTTTAGTTTATACTGGAACTCAGCCACTAGCTCTTTTTTCATATAGTAATAAACTGAAAAATGTTGTGAACAAACTTGTTTTCCTATTTCTCCAGAATGCAACATTCAACAATTGATTTACCACTGTCTAATTGATGTTACATTTGGTGACAGAGCACAAGTTGATCAGCATGGGCATTCTACACAAGAACAAAGCAGAAATTCCAAATGAAATGTTCCAATTTCAAAACAGAGGATTTTATAGTACAATCTTTGGATTTCAGAAAGATATAATATTGGCCTCATATGGCAAAGAAAAACAAACTGATACTGCTGATGTCAACATTGCACCATGATAGAACTACTGATAGGGAAACCTTGACAAAATGAAAGCCTGAGATGGAAACTTTCTACAACAAAACCAAAGGTGGAGCAGATATTGTTGATGAGTTATGCAGCAACTATGATATCACTCAAACAAAGGCTTGGCTAATGGTGGTGTTTTACTGAATCCTAAGCATGTGTGGCATAAATAGTTTGATAGTTTACAAAGAAAATAACAAGTACTACAAAGAAATTTTCTTAGAAGGTTGGGACTGGAACTCAAGAGATCATTTACAGCAGAGAAAAACCAAAATGTTTCTGCCTAGGGAGCTATGCAAAAAAAAATTGTGGAGCACAGTGGTGTGTTGACAGGTGAACAGGCAGGTGTAGCATCCCAAAGACCTGCTATGACAACAGGAAAACCAGAAGATGTCAACTGTGCCCTACAAGAAAGGACAGGAAAAAAAAACATATGTGCTATCAGTGTAAGCAATACTTGTGGATGGAACATGCAGTTTCCATGTGTAAAGACTTCCTTGGGGTGACAGTTGAAGCAAAGATTATTTCTATGGTAGACTTTTGTTTGTATTTACCTTGTAGCTCACATAGGTTTTTATTTCTGATGTTGTCTTTTAGGTTTTGTAAGTGAGTACACAGCTGACGTGAAAATGTTGATGTCTATTTTAAGCAGTCATTATATATTTGATACTTTATTTTATTGATATCTTATTTTCCTGCTAAGTGGACATTGTGAAATACAGTAGGAAGCTCTTAACAAAACAGGAAGACAAGAGAGGTGACAAGAATGGCCTGCCATACAGGAAAGGAAAGCTAAGCACTTGTGCTGTCAGTGTAAGCGAGACATGTGCATGGAACATGCAGTTGTCAAGTGTGAACACTGCCCTGGGTGTCAGTGAGAGTCGAAACAAATAATTTTTGTAGTAGAGCTCTATTTGTATTTTCATTATAGCTCATATAGGAATTTATTTCTGATGTGCTGGGCGTGGTGGTGCACACTTGTAATCCCAGCACTCAAGAGTCTGAGGCAGGAGGATTGTCATGAGTTTGAGGCCCGCCTGAGCTACATAGTGAAACCCTGTTTCAAAAAACCCAAAAAGGGGGGTGGGGGGGTATGAGAAGATTTACAGTAAAAAAAGGAACAATTATATTGACACTATTTTTTAAAGGGTGAAAAAAATCCTTGAACTTATCAGGCCATTTATAAAAAAGGATCTTAATCAATTTGCTCACTATATAAAGTGCTTTAGTATTTCAGATGGAGCTGGCCACTTCCCAGAGACCATCCTTGCTCTGCCACTGTTGGTGGGATTAGGAGAACACTGAATAGCAGAGAGAAGGGAGCTTCTAGGCAAACTCAATTTAGACACTGTTTATGAGGATTTCATTTGATTTGCCCATCAGCATCCAAAGATAATAATCTAGCCAGGTGATCACAGGCAAATTCTTAACCCACCTCAGCCTCAGTTTCCTCATCTGTACAATGGGGATCATAATAATTGTTCTTCTTTTGAGGTCTGATTGAGATGCTATACAAAAAATGCACTTAGAGAAGGGACTGGCACAGTTAGAGCTACATAAGTCTTTGCTACTGTTGTCAGTATTAGTTTTGGCTTAAATCTGGATGTCCCTACAAAGTGACTGGATTGTGGGTGTGTGATATTGGGTCATGAGTGTGTGGTACTGGAACAGTCATCCAGAAGGTCAGCTTGAAACCACACTGAGTAGGCTTTAGATATTATTGATTTGGCTTATGAATTTGGCTATTGATTAAAATTATGAGTCATTCCAAGACCTACATGTGGCTTGCTAAATGAGCCTTCAGCTGGTGTATGAGACAGACTTCCCTATGCCAACAGTCACAATTGAGATCTCAGTGATCGATGAGATTGTGACATCTCTAGTAGCAAGCTAAGGAAATATGACTCTGTGAAGCCATTCTTCAAGATCAAACATTAGCTAAAGATAACAGGGTGGCTTTTTAGCTACAACCTGCAAGATAGCACAGGTGGCTTGTTAACTGTGACTTGTCTGTCACAAAAATGCAATCTTTCCTCCTTTTGCAGCCTGGTCCATTACTGTATTAGTTCTACTATTCCTTACATCTGCTTTTAGGCCCCCCTTGCTATGTTGTATAATAATAAATACTGACTAATCCAAAGATCTTGGTCTTAGCTAGGAGAGAGCTAAGATCAACTCCTGGCCCCAAGTAATAAACTATCATTCTTTATTCTTTATTTCTTGTTCTTTGTATATTATTCTTTCATCTCTTGCTGTACCCTTATCAGGCAACCAGGCATCCCCCAATAGGTAACTAACTGGTGGCTGGGCTTCACCTGCCAACTCCACTGATTGGTTTAGAGCTAGGTGTGATGTTGAGCCGTGAAGCCTCATTGGACGAGATGGGTCACTGTGTGTGTGACCTGGAAGAGTGTACAGTATATGTATATCCATCCCCTTTGGTGGCTCACTGCTTCCTGCCTGCCATGCTCCTCTGCCATGATACCCTGCCTTTGACTCAGCTGACTATGGACTGAAATCTCTACAAACAAAATAAACCTCTCCTCCTTTAACTTGTAGGTACCAGGTATTGTGTCTCAACAATGAGAAAATAACTAAGACAGTATTATTTAATAAAAACTCACTCAGAGTTGGGCACAACCTCACAAAGTCAGTTTGGGACTTAATCTAATTGCTTGGGAATATCAGCTAAATATCTTCAGGAAACCAAGGCAGAGCCTTTAGTTCTGTGTGCAGGTTGATAGTCTTTCTCTGATTGCTCCTCCCTGATTTGAAGCCCACAGGCAATTAGAAAGAAAATTAAGTCCTTCAACTTGCTGAAACCTAAGCTGGGCATTCTTTTGTCCTTTGTTTAGTCATGCACATGGTGCTTCTAGAGCTGTCACTGTAAGTTAACGACATAAAGCTGGTAAACAAGGGGAGGCCTTGGAAATCATGTTATGTTGTCCCTTCTTTTAAAATTGAAGAAACTGTGGTTAAGATGTGTCACTTGACCAACATCACACTGTTAGTAGCAGTAAGTTCTCCTGACCCCAGTGCCAGTGGATCTAGCCACAGTGTCTTTAAAGACTCTGCAAAATGCCCCCCCACTCAAGCCACACAGCCTCAGTTCCCCCCATCACTCTCAGGACAGTTTGTAGGTGCTTTTCTTACCAGGTCGTACTACCCTGCCCACATCAAAGAGCATCATGGCCCCTCAGAAACCACAGACTTGAGATGAGTCTATCACAACTGATAATGTTTGACCAACCCAGAGGCTGGTGAAACCGTCCTCTCCTTCATTCTAAATGCCACTCTCCCATTTATATGTCTGGAGAACAAATTGGTTTCCTTGGAAGTTCCAGTTGTGTTTACTCACTTCTCACTAACCATCAGCTGAAACCCTCAGGCCCTCTGCAGATGCTGTTGCTAACCAACAACTCCCTCAACTCCACCCTCCAACATCCACATTGCCTGACATCCAGATTGGCTCACCCTGAGAGGCTCAGACTAAGAGAGATCTTCTGGCTGCCATGACTACAAGAGGAAGAAAATTGGTCTTGGCAACCCAAGAACCTGAGGGGGCTCTCCATTTACCAGGCAAGACCACTGCCAAATTTAGGGATGACCTGGCACTCTCCTGGGTGAATAGAAACTAGTCTTGGTGCCCTCCACACCACCTCCTGGATGCTTTCTCACCTTTTCTCAAGACCCTCAGATTATCCCGTTCTGCTCACCTGTGTGAATCTACCCCTATGAGATCCACGTGACTGACTGAGAAAACTATCCATGCTCTGCAGTAGGGGAGGAAACACAGATTGAAGAGTAACATGGAGAGTGTAGCATGGCTCTTTTGTTTTGTTTTGCAAAAACAGAAAGCATCTTTTAATTTTATTCATGTATATGAAAATAAAGAAGGGCAAATTGTTAAAGTGGTTAGTGTCCTCTAAGGGCTAGATTGATTTTAGGTGGAGGAACAACAACTTTTTGCTTTTAACATTTCAGCACTCTGAATTGCTAAACACATAAGTGGTATTAGTCACTTTCCTGTTGCTAGGACAAAATATCCAACACCTGCAACTTAAAGGAGGAGAGGTTTATTTTGTTTCATGGCTTCAGAGGATTCAGTCCATGGTTGGTTGGCTCCCAGACAGAAGAGGCATGGTCGAGGGACTTGGCAGAGGAAAGCTGTTTAACCCATGGCAGGCAGGAAGCAGAAGGAGAAGGAAGGAGCCAGGGGCAGGAATACACCCTTCCAGCCCTCCAACCAGGCCCCATCCATCTCCTTACAGCACATGAGCACATCACTAGGGTAGTTCACTGACCAGCACAGTGCCCTCACCTTCCAAGAGGCTCACCTTTCAACACAGGAGACTTTTGGAGGACATTTCAGATCTAAACCATGACATAGGTGCTATGTTAGTTGAAATGAATGGGAGAGAGTAAGGCAGGAAAGAATGAAAAGTCTGTCTTCCATTCATCAAAGCAGAGTCTGGGTCCTAACAAAGATCTAATCCATAGCCACAGCCCCCAGATTGGCTCCTCAGACCCCACTCTCATCCCTGGGCCTCCCTTGCTCTGCTTCCTCTCTGGGAGCAGAGTGCTCTGTGCAGGTGGGACCACAGCTCTGACTTAGTAGCTGTGGCACCAAGTCTCTTGGCCTCTCCAAGCCGCTGCGTTATACTATGTGAGTGATGGAGGAGATGATGAATTCTAAGCATGCAGCCTGGTGCTGAGCACATGGGAAGAACTCCATACACATTATCTCCGATTAGCTCCTTGTCCAGTGTGAAGCTTGGGTTGGATCCCTGCCTGTCTGCCAATCCCAGCTCCTCTTTCTGACCATTGCCTCTGTGCACCTCCCCAACCCCACACTTCAGCCTTGGGGAGCAGGTAACTCAGGAACAGCCCC